GGATTAACCATCCCTTTATGGTATTATGCATGATATGCATAATATTACACTATATGTGTTAATACATATATGTATTATCACCAATTTATTATCTTAACCACAAAGCAAGTACTAAAAATTAAGGTATGCATAAAGCATAAAATTAAAACTCAGAAATAATTTTATTTTAACCCGGGTAATATATTAATCCCCAAAAATTTGACCTCAAAATTTTCCTTGAATTATACAGCCAAAATTGCATCTAAAAATATTAATGTAGTAAGAGACCACCAACCAATTGTATAAAGGCATATTCTGCATGATAGAATCAGGGACATTAACTGTGGGGGTAGCACAATATGAACTATTACTGGCATCTGGTTCCTATTTCAGGTACACAACTGTAATATCCCACCTTCGGATAATTATACTGGCATTTGGTTAATGGTGTAGTACATATGTCTCGTTACCCACCATGCCAAGCGTTCTCTTATATGCATAACGTTCTCCTTTTTTTTCCTTTTCATCTTGCATCTCAAAGTGCAGGCACAAATGTGAGTTAAGGTTGAGCAATTTCCTTGTATGTGATAATATAAATTAATTATTATAAGACATAATTTAAGAATTACATATTATTAACTCAAGTGCATACATATATATTCTTTCTTCAACTTATCCTTATATATTATCCCCCTTTTGGTTTTTGCGCGACAAACCCCCCTACCCCCCTACGCTCGGCGAATCCTGTTATCCTTGTCAAACCCCTAAAGCAAGGAAGACTCAAGAGCGTGTTGGCCAACGAGTTGCGGTGTAAATTGGCATCCCACGTTATATATATATATATATATATATATGTGCACCAATTTTTATTACAACAATTTACTGTTGGCCTAACAAGCCCTGCCAAAAACTTTACAAAAGTGGCTCGGCACTAAATATTCTAATATTATTTAACGCTAGCGTAGCTTAATATAAAGCATAGCACTGAAGATGCTAAGATGGGCCCTAAGAAGCTCCGCATGCACAAAGGCATGGTCCCGACCTTACTGTCAGCTCTAACTCAACTTACACATGCAAGTTTCCGCAACCCCGTGAATATGCCCTCAATCCCCTGCCCGGGGACGAGGAGCGGGCATCAGGCACAAACATTAGCCCAAGACGCCTAGCCAGGCCACACCCCCAAGGGAATTCAGCAGTGATAGACATTGAGCCATAAGTGAAAGCTTGACTCAGTTAGTGTTAAAAGGGCCGGTAAAACTCGTGCCAGCCACCGCGGTTAGACGAGAGGCCCCAGTTGATAATATAACGGCGTAAAGGGTGGTTAAGAACAGATAAAAATAAAGCCAAATGGCCCCTTGGCCGTCATACGCTTCTGGGTGTCCGAAGCCCTAACACGAAAGTAGCTTTAGTAAACTCATCTGACCCCACGAAAGCTGGGAAACAAACTGGGATTAGATACCCCACTATGCCCAGCCGTAAACCCAGGCATCCAACTACGATCAAATGCCCGCCAGGGTACTACGAGCATCAGCTTGAAACCCAAAGGACCTGACGGTGTCTCAGACCCCCCTAGAGGAGCCTGTTCTAGAACCGATAACCCCCGTCTAACCTCACCACTTCTAGTTACTCCAGCCTATATACCGCCGTCGTCAGCTTACCCTGTGAAGGTAATAAAAGTAAGCAAAATGGGCACAACCCAATACGTCAGGTCGAGGTGTAGCGCATGGAGTGGGAAGAAATGGGCTACATTTTCTAGTATAGAATATTACGAATATGCACCATGAAACAGTGCTTGAAGGAGGATTTAGTAGTAAAAAGGAAACAGAGTGTCCCTTTGAACCCGGCTCTGAGACGCGTACACACCGCCCGTCACTCTCCCCCGTCAAAACGCACCAAAAGTACCTAATGTAATAGCACCGACAAGGGGAGACAAGTCGTAACACGGTAAGTGTACCGGAAGGTGCACTTGGATTAAACCCAGGGCGTGGCTGAGCTAGTCAAGCATCTCACTTACACCGAGAAGACATCCATGCAAGTTGGATCACCCTGAGCCAAACAGCTAGCTTAACCACTTAATAATTGAACAATATAAATAAAACAAAATAAGCCTAACACCAAAAACTAAACCATTTTTTTACCTGAGTATGGGAGACAGAAAAGGTGACACAAAGCGATAGAAATAGTACCGCAAGGGAAGGCTGAAAGAGAAATGAAACAACCCATATAAGCACTAAAAAGCAAAGATTAAAACTCGTACCTTTTGCATCATGATTTAGCCAGTACAACCAAGCGAAGAGACCTTTAGTTTGAAACCCCGAAACCAGGTGAGCTACCCCGAGACAGCCTATTAAGGGCCAACCCGTCTCTGTGGCAAAAGAGTGGGAAGAGCTCCGGGTAGAAGTGACAGACCTACCGAACCTGGTGATAGCTGGTTGCCTAAGAGATGAATAGAAGTTCAGCCTCGTACTCCCCCAATCAGATATACCCAAACAAGACCCCAAGAGAAATACACGAGAGTTAGTTAAAGGGGGTACAGCCCCTTTAACAAAGGACACAACCTTTCCAGGAGGATAAAGATCATAATATATAAAACATACTGTTCTAGTGGGCCTAAAAGCAGCCACCTAAACAGAAAGCGTTAAAGCTCAGACAGAAAAAAGTTTATTATCCTGATAAAAAATCTTATTCCCCTAAATATTATTAGGCCAACCCATGCCCACATGGAAGAGATTATGCTAAAATGAGTAACAAGAGGGCCAGCCCTTCTCCCAGCACAAGTGTAGGCCAAACCGGACCAACCATTGGCAACTAACGAACTCAACCCAAGAGAGTAGTGTGAATTACAAAAAAACCAAGGAAAATCCACAACTAAACTATCGTTACCCCCACACTGGAGTGCTATTGAGGAAAGACTAAAAGAAAAGGAAGGAACTCGGGCAAACACAAGCCTCGCCTGTTTACCAAAAACATCGCCTCCTGCGACACAACCAAGTATAGGAGGTCCAGCCTGCCCAGTGACCACAAGTTTAACGGCCGCGGTATTTTAACCGTGCAAAGGTAGCGCAATCACTTGTCTTTTAAATAAAGACCTGTATGAATGGCTAAACGAGGGCTTAACTGTCTCCCCTTTCAAGTCAGTGAAATTGATCTACCCGTGCAGAAGCGGGTATAATAATACAAGACGAGAAGACCCTTTGGAGCTTAAGGTACAAACTCAACCACGTTAAGCAACTCAATAAAAAGTAAAAACTTTGTGGACATGAAATTTTACCTTCGGTTGGGGCGACCACGGAGGAAAGAAAAGCCTCCAAATGGACTGGGAAAACCTCCTAAAACCAAGAGAGACATCTCTAAGCCACAGAACATCTGACCAAACATGATCCGGCCAGCATAGACCGATCAATGAACCAAGTTACCCTAGGGATAACAGCGCAATCCTCTCCCAGAGTCCATATCGACGAGGGGGTTTACGACCTCGATGTTGGATCAGGACATCCTAATGGTGCAGCCGCTATTAAGGGTTCGTTTGTTCAACGATTAAAGTCCTACGTGATCTGAGTTCAGACCGGAGCAATCCAGGTCAGTTTCTATCTGTAACGCCACTTTTCCTAGTACGAAAGGATCGGAAAAGAGGGGCCCATACTTAAAGCACGCCCCACCCCAATTTATGAAAACAAATAAATAAAATAAAGGGAGGGCCAAAACCCCAGCCGGCCAAAATAAGGACATACTGGGGTGGCAGAGCATGGTAAATTGCGAAAGGCCTAAGCCCTTTTAACCAGAGGTTCAAATCCTCTCCCCAGTTATGCTACACACCCTAATTACCCACTTAGTCAACCCCTTAGCCTATATAGTACCAGTACTTCTAGCAGTGGCCTTTCTAACACTTCTTGAACGAAAAGTGCTAGGATATATACAACTACGAAAAGGCCCAAACGTAGTAGGCCCCTACGGACTACTACAACCCATTGCCGACGGACTAAAACTCTTCACTAAAGAGCCCGTCCGCCCATCTACATCATCCCCATTCCTATTTTTAGCCGCTCCAGTACTCGCACTGACCCTAGCCATGACCTTATGAGCACCAATACCCATACCCCACCCAGTAACCGATCTCAACCTAGGAATCCTATTTATTCTGGCCCTATCAAGCCTTGCAGTATACTCAACTTTAGGATCAGGCTGAGCATCAAATTCAAAATACGCATTAATTGGGGCTTTACGGGCCGTGGCTCAAACAATCTCGTATGAAGTTAGCCTCGGACTAATCCTTCTATCCGTAATTATCTTCTCGGGGGGGTATACACTACAAACGTTTAACATCACCCAAGAAGGTATTTGATTACTTGTCCCCGCCTGACCTTTAGCCGCAATATGATACATCTCAACACTAGCCGAAACAAACCGAGCACCTTTTGATTTAACAGAAGGAGAATCAGAACTAGTATCCGGCTTCAACGTAGAATATGCAGGAGGGCCCTTCGCACTATTCTTCCTCGCCGAATATGCCAACATTCTTCTAATAAATACACTATCGGCCGTCCTATTTTTAGGGGCCTCACATATTCCAAGCGTCCCAGAACTCACCACAATTAACCTTATAACTAAGGCTGCACTACTATCCGTCATATTCCTGTGAGTACGAGCCTCGTACCCCCGGTTCCGATATGACCAACTAATGCACCTAGTATGAAAAAGCTTCCTTCCCCTTACACTCGCCTTCGTACTGTGACATACTGCCCTACCAATCGCACTGGCAGGACTCCCCCCACAACTGTAACCAAGGAACTGTGCCTGAATGCCCAAGGACCACTTTGATAGAGTGAATTATAGGGGTTAAAACCCCCTCAGTTCCTAGAAAGAAGGGAATTGAACCCATACTCAAGAGATCAAAACTCTAGGTGCTTCCTTTACACCACATTCTAAGGCGGGGTCAGCCAATTAAGCTTTCGGGCCCATACCCCGAACATGACGGTTAAAATCCCTCCTCCGCCAATGAACCCCTATGTACTTACAATCCTCTTATCTAGCCTAGGGCTAGGGACCACCCTAACCTTTGCTAGCTCTCACTGACTCCTAGCCTGAATAGGTCTGGAAATTAACACACTAGCAATTACCCCCTTAATAGCGCAACACCACCACCCCCGAGCGGTAGAGGCAACCACAAAATACTTCCTAACCCAAGCCACCGCAGCAGCAATAATCCTATTTGCAAGCACAACAAATGCGTGAATGACCGGGGAATGAAATATCAACGACCTATCAAACCCCATCGCCAGCACAATATTTACAGCAGCCCTGGCACTCAAGATTGGACTCGCACCCATGCACTTCTGAATACCAGAAGTACTACAAGTATTAGACTTATTAACAGGACTCATCCTATCTACCTGACAAAAGCTCGCCCCCTTCGCACTCATCATCCAAACGGCACAAACTATTGACTCATCACTACTAATACTATTAGGAATCACATCCACACTGGTTGGCGGGTGGGGGGGACTAAACCAAACCCAACTACGGAAAATCCTAGCCTACTCTTCAATTGCACACATGGGGTGGATGATCATTGTAATTCAGTATGCCCCACAACTTACCCTAATTGCACTGGGCATATATATTATTATAACCTCCGCAGCATTCCTAACCCTAAAAATACTATTAACAACCAAAATTAGCACACTATCAACAACCTGATCAAAAAACCCAATCCTGGCATCAACAACTGCCCTAGTCCTACTCTCATTGGGGGGACTCCCCCCACTCACGGGGTTTATACCGAAGTGGCTAATCTTGCAAGAACTAACAAAACAGGACCTCCCCATCATCGCCACAATTATAGCCTTAGCCGCCCTAATTAGCTTATACTTTTACTTACGACTATGTTACGCAATAACACTAACCATCTCCCCAAACATGATCAACTCAATCACCCCATGACGAACCCAAACAACCCAAACCTCTTTTTCTCTAGCCCTATTTACCACGGCCGCCCTAGGAATATTGGCAGTAACCCCAGCCATCCTAATACTAATCACCTAGGGATTTAGGATAACATTAGACCAAGGGCCTTCAAAGCCCTAAGTAGAAGTGAAAATCTTCTAGTCCCTGATAAGACCTACAAGAAACTAACTCGCATCTCCTGACTGCAAACCAGGCGCTTTTATTAAGCTAAGGCCTTACTAGACGGGAAGGCCTCGATCCTACAAACTCTTAGTTAACAGCTAAGCGCTCAAGCCAGCGAGCATCCATCTATTTTCCCCGCCGCCTAATCAGTAAGGCGGGGAAAGCCCCGGCAGATTATTAATCTACGTCTTAGGATTTGCAATCCGATGTGTTCTTCACCACGGGGCTGATAGGAAGAGGACTTAAACCTCTGTCTTCGGGGCTACAACCCACCGCCTAAACGCTCGGCTACCCTACCTGTGGCAATCACGCGCTGATTCTTTTCTACCAACCACAAAGACATTGGCACCCTCTATCTCGTATTTGGTGCCTGAGCCGGAATAGTGGGAACCGCCTTAAGCCTTCTCATTCGAGCTGAACTTAGCCAACCCGGATCACTTCTAGGCGATGACCAAATTTATAATGTTATCGTCACCGCCCACGCCTTCGTAATAATTTTCTTTATAGTAATACCTATTCTCATCGGAGGGTTTGGAAACTGACTTGTACCACTAATAATTGGTGCCCCAGATATAGCATTCCCACGAATAAATAATATAAGCTTCTGACTACTGCCGCCATCATTCCTATTACTACTAGCTTCTTCTGGTGTTGAAGCCGGGGCCGGAACAGGATGAACAGTTTACCCGCCCCTTGCTGGGAACCTAGCCCACGCAGGAGCATCAGTAGACTTAACAATTTTTTCACTCCACCTGGCAGGTATTTCATCAATCCTAGGGGCAATTAACTTCATCACCACAATCACTAACATAAAACCCCCAGCCATCTCCCAATATCAAACACCTCTATTTGTCTGATCCGTGCTTGTAACCGCTGTCCTACTCCTTTTATCACTACCCGTTTTAGCTGCCGGAATTACAATATTACTGACAGATCGAAATCTCAATACAACATTTTTTGACCCGGCAGGTGGAGGAGACCCAATCCTTTACCAACACCTATTCTGATTCTTTGGTCACCCAGAAGTCTACATTCTTATTCTTCCGGGATTTGGAATTATCTCTCATGTTGTAGCCTACTATTCAGGCAAAAAAGAACCATTTGGTTACATAGGCATGGTATGAGCAATAATAGCCATCGGCCTTCTAGGATTTATTGTATGAGCACACCACATATTTACCGTCGGGATAGACGTAGACACTCGTGCATATTTTACATCTGCAACAATAATTATTGCGATCCCGACAGGCGTAAAAGTATTCAGCTGACTAGCCACACTTCACGGAGGGTCGATTAAATGAGAAACACCCATACTATGAGCGCTAGGGTTTATTTTCCTTTTTACAGTAGGTGGGCTCACAGGAATTGTCCTATCCAACTCATCACTAGACATTGTCCTTCATGACACCTATTATGTAGTAGCACACTTCCACTATGTACTGTCAATAGGTGCTGTATTTGCTATTATGGCAGCCTTCGTACACTGATTTCCCCTACTAACCGGGTATACCCTCCACAGCACATGAACAAAAATCCACTTTGCGGTTATGTTTATTGGGGTTAACCTAACATTCTTCCCACAACACTTCCTAGGCCTGGCAGGTATGCCACGACGATATTCTGACTACCCAGACGCCTACGCCTTATGAAACACGGTGTCATCCATCGGATCACTAATCTCTTTAGTAGCGGTTATTATATTCCTATTTATCCTATGAGAAGCCTTCGCCGCTAAACGGGAAGTACTATCTGTAGAACTAACAATGACAAACGTAGAGTGACTCCACGGCTGCCCTCCCCCCTATCACACATATGAGGAGCCGGCGTTTGTTCAAATTCAATCAAATTAACGAGAAAGGGAGGAATTGAACCCCCATATGCTGGTTTCAAGCCAGCCACATAACCACTCTGTCACTTCCTTCTTAAGACATTAGTAAAATATAAATTACATCACCTTGTCAAGGTGAAATTGCGGGTTAGACCCCCGCATGTTTTAAACCTAAGACTTAATGGCACACCCAACACAACTAGGATTTCAAGACGCGGCATCACCCGTTATAGAAGAACTTCTTCACTTCCATGACCACGCACTAATAATTGTGTTCCTAATTAGCACTTTAGTATTATATATTATTATTGCAATGGTATCAACCAAACTTACTAACAAGTATATTTTAGATTCTCAAGAGATCGAAATTGTATGAACCATTTTACCGGCCGTCATCTTAGTACTTATTGCCCTGCCCTCTTTACGCATTCTGTACCTTATGGACGAAATCAACGACCCCCACTTAACAATTAAAGCAATAGGACATCAATGATACTGAAGCTATGAATATACGGATTATGAAGACCTGGGATTTGACTCTTACATGGTCCCAACCCAAGACCTTGCCCCCGGCCAATTCCGTCTCCTAGAGACGGACCACCGAATAGTTGTCCCAATAGAGTCCCCGATCCGTATCCTAGTATCCGCTGAAGACGTACTGCATTCTTGAGCTGTCCCATCCCTGGGCATAAAAATAGATGCAGTCCCAGGACGACTAAATCAAACCGCCTTCATTGCCTCACGCCCAGGATTATTCTATGGGCAATGCTCTGAAATCTGCGGGGCTAACCACAGCTTTATGCCAATTGTGGTTGAAGCAGTACCACTAGAACACTTCGAAAACTGATCCTCATTAATACTAGAAGACGCCTCGCTAAGAAGCTAAACATTGGATAAAGCATTGGCCTTTTAAGCCAAAAGTTGGTGACTCCCGACCACCCTTAGTGAAATGCCACAATTAAACCCCGGCCCTTGATTCAAAATTTTAGTGTACGCCTGAGAACTTTTTTTAACCATTATCCCAACTAAAATCTTAAATTATACTTCACCAAATAAACCAACTCCAGTAAGTGCTAAAAAACACAAAACTGGAGCCTGATACTGACCATGATCGTAAGCTTCTTCGACCAGTTTGCAAGCCCCGTATTTCTCGGAATCCCATTAATTGCCATCGCAATTGCACTGCCCTGGATACTCTATCCAACCCCCTCATCTCGGTGGGTAAACAATCGACTCATCACAACACAAGAGTGGCTTATTAACCGGTTCACTAATCAATTAATGCTACCGCTGAATATAGGAGGACATAAGTGAGCATTACTACTAACCTCATTAATAATTTTCTTAATTACAACCAATATGCTTGGGCTACTGCCTTACACCTTTACACCCACCACGCAGCTGTCCCTTAATTTAGGATTTGCAGTACCCCTATGACTTGCCACAGTAATTATTGGAATGCGGAATCAACCAACAGTCGCCCTAGGACACCTTTTACCAGAAGGAACACCTATTATACTAATCCCCGTACTAATTGTTATCGAAACAATTAGCCTGTTTATACGACCACTAGCCCTAGGGGTTCGACTCACAGCCAACCTAACCGCAGGCCACCTCCTAATTCAACTTATCGCCACAGCTGTGTTTGTCCTTCTACCAATAATACCTGTAGTAGCAATCCTAACCGCCGCCCTGCTCTTCATGCTGACACTATTAGAAGTTGCGGTGGCAATAATCCAAGCTTATGTATTTGTACTTCTTTTAAGCCTGTACCTTCAAGAAAACGTTTAATGGCCCACCAAGCACATGCCTATCATATAGTTGACCCAAGCCCATGACCCCTAACCGGAGCTATCGCTGCCCTACTGATAACATCCGGCCTAGCAATCTGATTTCACTTCCACTCAACAATATTAATAACCTTAGGGTTAGTTCTCACACTTCTCACCATATACCAATGATGACGAGACATTATCCGAGAAGGGACCTTTCAAGGCCACCATACTCCCCCAGTACAAAAGGGGCTACGATATGGAATAATCCTATTTATTACCTCAGAAGTATTTTTCTTCCTAGGGTTCTTCTGAGCCTTCTATCACTCAAGTCTAGCCCCCACCCCAGAACTAGGGGGATGTTGACCCCCGACAGGAATTATCCCTCTAGATCCCTTCGAAGTCCCACTCCTTAATACAGCCGTTCTACTAGCATCGGGGGTTACAGTAACATGAGCCCACCACAGCATTATAGAAGGGGAACGAAAACAAACTATTCAATCCCTAGCATTAACCATTTTATTAGGGTTTTATTTTACCGCACTACAAGCCATGGAGTATTACGAAGCCCCCTTCACAATTGCAGACGGGGTCTATGGTTCAACATTCTTTGTGGCCACGGGCTTCCATGGATTACATGTCATTATTGGGTCAACCTTCCTCGCAGTATGTCTCTTACGCCAAATCCAATACCACTTTACATCTGAACACCACTTCGGCTTTGAAGCCGCTGCCTGATACTGACACTTTGTTGACGTAGTATGACTTTTCCTCTACGTATCTATTTATTGATGAGGCTCATAATCTTTCTAGTATTAAAGTTAGTACAAGTGACTTCCAATCACACAGCCTTGGTTAAACCCCAAGGAAAGATAATGAATTTAATTATAACTATTTTGATTATTACAACAGCCCTATCCTTAGTCCTAGCGGTTGTATCTTTTTGACTCCCACAAATGAACCCTGACGCAGAAAAGCTGTCACCGTACGAATGCGGATTTGACCCCCTAGGCTCCGCCCGACTACCATTTTCCCTACGCTTCTTTCTGGTGGCAATTCTGTTCCTCCTCTTTGACCTAGAAATTGCCCTCCTCCTCCCCCTGCCCTGAGGAGACCAACTACATAACCCGACCGAAACACTTTTCTGAGCCACAACAGTCCTAATTTTATTAACCCTGGGATTAGTCTACGAATGAACCCAAGGGGGCCTAGAATGAGCAGAATAGGGGGCTAGTCCAAAACAAGACCTCTGACTTCGACTCAGAAAATCGTGGTTTAACTCCACGGCCCCCTTATGACACCCGTACACTTTAGCTTTAGCTCAGCATTCATCTTAGGTTTAATAGGACTAGCATTCCACCGAACTCACCTACTCTCCGCACTACTATGTTTAGAGGGGATAATACTGTCCCTATTTATTGCACTAGCCCTATGAACACTACAATTTGAAGCAACAGCATTCTCAACAGCTCCTATACTACTTCTGGCCTTCTCTGCCTGTGAAGCAAGCACCGGCCTAGCACTACTAGTTGCTACTGCCCGCACTCACGGGACTGACCGATTACAAAATCTTAACCTTCTACAATGCTAAAAGTGCTAATCCCTACAATTATGCTATTCCCAACAATTTGATTAACCTCCCCCAAATGGCTATGGACAACCACAACCGCACACAGTCTCCTAATTGCATCTATTAGCCTAATATGACTAAAATGAACCTCAGAAGCCGGATGAACCTCCTCTAACACATATCTAGCCACAGACCCACTATCAACCCCCCTTTTAGTACTAACATGCTGACTACTTCCACTCATGATTCTAGCTAGCCAAAACCATATTAACCCTGAACCAATCAACCGACAACGCTCTTATATTACACTTCTCGCCTCACTACAAACCTTTTTAATTATAGCATTCGGTGCCACAGAAATCATTATATTTTATATTATATTTGAAGCTACACTTATCCCAACCCTCATTATTATTACCCGCTGAGGAAACCAAGCCGAACGACTTAATGCAGGAACCTACTTTCTATTCTACACCCTAGCAGGATCACTCCCACTTTTAGTTGCCCTACTTCTTCTCCAACAATCAACAGGGACACTATCGATATTAGTACTCCAATATTCACAACCCCTTCAACTTAATTCTTGAGGTCACATAATCTGATGAGCCGGCTGCCTAATCGCATTTTTAGTTAAAATACCACTATACGGAGTCCACCTATGGCTGCCAAAAGCACACGTAGAGGCCCCCGTAGCCGGGTCAATAGTGCTAGCAGCAGTCCTGCTAAAACTTGGTGGGTATGGAATAATGCGCATAATAATTATACTCGACCCCTTATCAAAAGAGCTGGCCTACCCATTCATTATTCTAGCCCTCTGAGGTATCATTATAACTGGGTCGATCTGCCTTCGACAAACAGACCTAAAATCACTAATTGCCTACTCATCTGTAAGTCATATAGGACTAGTAGCAGCGGGGATCCTAATTCAAACCCCATGAGGATTTTCAGGGGCAATTATTTTAATAATCGCCCACGGGTTGGTATCCTCAGCACTATTCTGCTTAGCCAATACAGCGTATGAACGAACCCATAGCCGGACAATAATACTCGCCCGAGGACTACAAATGATTTTTCCTCTAACCGCAATATGATGATTCACCGCCAATCTAGCCAACTTAGCACTCCCCCCGCTGCCCAACCTAATAGGAGAACTAATGATTATTACAACATTATTCAACTGATCCCCATGAACAATTTTACTCACCGGCCTGGGAACATTAATTACGGCTGGCTATTCCCTATATATATTTCTTATGACCCAACGAGGCCCGACACCCAACCATATTATAGGACTTCAACCCTTCCATACCCGAGAACACCTATTAATAGCCCTACACCTAATTCCCGTCATCCTACTAGTGGCAAAGCCAGAACTCATATGAGGATGATGTTACTGTAAGTATAGTTTTAACCAAAATATTAGATTGTGATTCTAAAGACAGGAGTTAAAACCTCCTTACTCACCAAGGGGGAACGAAAAACAGTAAGCACTGCTAATTCTTACACTCCGCGGTTAAAATCCGCGGCCTCCTTGCGCTTTTAAAGGATAACAGGTCATCCATTGGTCTTAGGAACCAAAAACTCTTGGTGCAAATCCAAGTGAAAGCTAAAATGACACTAATCATACACTCATCCCTCCTTCTAATCTTCTTTATTTTGGTATACCCCCTGTTTACTACGCTAAACCCTAGTCAACTAGACCTCAACATGGCAAAAATAACTAAAGTTGCCGTTAGCTCCGCATTCTTCGTCAGCCTGCTGCCTCTTATAATCTTCCTAAACCTAAAAACAGAAGGCATCATCACAAATTGACAATGAATAAACACCCAAGCATTTGACATCAATATTAGCTTTAAGTTTGACCATTACTCCTTAATCTTTGTCCCAATTGCCCTCTATGTTACCTGATCAATTCTAGAATTTGCACTATGGTATATACACTCTGACCCCAACATTGACCGATTCTTCAAATACTTACTTACATTCCTAGTAGCTATAATCATCTTAGTTACAGCCAACAATATGTTCCAATTATTTATCGGCTGAGAAGGGGTAGGGATTATATCATTCCTACTAATCGGATGATGACATGGACGAGCAGACGCCAACACAGCAGCTCTCCAAGCTGTTATTTATAATCGAGTAGGAGACATCGGACTAATCATAATTATGGCTTGATTCGCAATAAACCTCAACTCCTGAGAGATTCAACAAATCTTTGTTTTATCAAAAAACTTTGACATAACAGTCCCCCTTCTAGGACTTACCTTAGCGGCAACCGGGAAATCAGCCCAGTTTGGCCTCCACCCATGGCTACCATCCGCCATGGAGGGCCCTACACCAGTATCTGCCCTACTCCATTCAAGCACTATAGTCGTTGCAGGGATCTTCCTACTAATCCGCCTTCATCCGCTTATAGAAAATAACCAATTGGCCCTGACAATCTGCCTTTGCCTCGGAGCATTAACCTCATTATTTACAGCCACCTGTGCTCTAACCCAAAATGATATCAAAAAAATTGTAGCTTTCTCAACATCAAGCCAGCTTGGACTAATAATAGTTACAATTGGACTAAACCAACCACAACTAGCATTTCTCCACATTTGCACTCACGCCTTCTTCAAGGCCATATTATTCTTGTGTTCCGGTTCAATCATTCATAGCCTAAACGATGAACAAGACATCCGGAAAATGGGGGGCTTATTCAACATTATACCTGCCACCTCAACTTACTTTATAATTGGCAGCCTCGCCCTAACAGGAACCCCCTTCCTAGCAGGATTCTTCTCAAAAGATGCAATTATTGAAGCCCTAAACACCTCTTACCTAAACGCCTGAGCCCTGACCCTAACACTAATTGCCACATCATTCACCGCAGTATACAGCTTCCGACTAGTATACTTTGTAATTATAGGAACCCCACGATTTTTACCCTTATCCCCAATTAACGAAAACAACCCACTAGTAATTAACTCTATCAAACGGCTTGCCTGAGGAAGCATCATTGCAGGACTCATTATTACACAAAACTTTTTACCAACAAAAACACCAATCATAACGATACCCCCCGCCCTAAAATTAGCAGCTCTTGCAGTAACAGTCACAGGCCTACTTGTAGCCACAGAACTAGCTAATATAACAAGCAAACAAGTGAAAATTACCCCGATAGTTTCCACACACCACTTCTCAAACATATTAGGATTTTTCCCAACAACCATTCACCGACTTCTTCCAAAACTTAAACTTACCCTAGGACAATCCGCCGCCGCCCAATTTGACAAAACATGGCTTGAAACTGTCGGGCCAAAAGGCCTAGCATTAACACAGGCAACTATAGCAAAAGCCATAAACAATATTACACGAGGAATAATCAAGACATACCTAACCATCTTTCTCCTAACCCTAATCTTGGCCATCACCCCAATCCTCCTTTAAACCGCACGAAGGGCCCCACGACTTAAACCACGAGTAAGCTCTAAAACAACAAGTAAAGTCAAAAGCAGCACCCAGGCGCAAATAACTAATATAATCCCACCAGACGAATATATTATAGCCACACCACCAATGTCACCGCGCAAAACAGAAAACTCTTTTAGTCCATCCGCAACCACCCACGAGCCCTCATATCAACCCCCTCAAAAAAATCCTGCCACCAAACTGACCCCTAACAAGTAGGCCACAACATAACCTAGCACAGAACGATTACCCCAAGCCTCTGGGAAGGGCTCAGCAGCCAAGGCTGCCGAATAAGCGAAAACTACAAGCATTCCCCCTAAGTAAATTAAAAAAAGGACCAATGATAGAAAAGAGCCCCCATGGCCAGCCAAAATCCCACACCCAACCCCGGCTGCGACCACCAAACCAAGAGCAGCAAAATAAGGCGTAGGATTAGAAGCAACAGCAACCAAGCCCACAACCAAAGCCATCAATAATAAAAACATAAAATAGGTCATAATTCTTACTCAGACTTTAACCGAGACCAACGACTTGAAGAACCGTCGTTGTTATTCAACTACAAGAACCTTTAATGGCAAGCCTACGAAAAACGCACCCCCTAATTAAAATTGCTAACGACGCACTAGTTGACCTACCAGCACCCTCTAACATCTCAGTATGGTGAAACTTTGGATCTTTACTAGGACTATGCCTAGCTACCCAAATTCTAACCGGCCTATTCCTAGCCATACACTATACCTCGGATATTTCAACCGCATTCTCATCAGTGGCCCACATCTGTCGAGACGTCAACTATGGCTGACTAATCCGAAACATCCACGCCAACGGAGCATCGTTCTTCTTCATCTGCATTTATATACATATTGCCCGAGGCCTATATTATGGATCATACCTCTATAAAGAAACTTGGAACATCGGCGTAGTTCTCCTGCTACTAGTCATGATAACAGCCTTCGTCGGCTATGTTCTACCGTGAGGACAAATATCTTTCTGGGGCGCCACAGTAATTACAAACCTCTTATCCGCCGTACCATATATGGGGGATATACTAGTCCAATGAATCTGAGGCGGCTTCTCAGTAGACAACGCAACACTAACACGATTCTTCGCATTCCACTTCCTGTTACCATTTATTGTCGCCGCTGCAACCGTCCTCCACCTACTATTTTTACACGAAACAGGATCAAACAACCCAGTCGGACTAAACTCAGACGCAGACAAAATCTCCTTCCACCCATACTTCACGTACAAAGACCTCTTAGGCTTTGTAATCATACTACTGACCCTAATACTTCTAGCGTTATTTTCACCCAATCTATTGGGAGACCCAGAAAACTTCACCCCTGCCAACCCGCTGGTCACACCCCCGCATATCAAGCCAGAATGATACTTCTTATTTGCCTACGCTATTTTACGATCAATCCCAAACAAACTTGGGGGTGTCCTTGCACTGCTATTTTCTATCTTAGTATTAATAATCGTGCCACTACTACACACCTCAAAACAACGAGGACTAACATTCCGCCCACTCACCCAACTCCTATTTTGGGCCCTAGTAGCAGATATACTTATTTTAACGTGAATTGGAGGCATGCCAGTAGAACACCCATTCATTATCATTGGACAAATCGCATCCGTTCTATACTTCGCACTATTCCTCATTTTTATGCCACTAGCAGGGTGATTGGAAAATAAAGCACTACAATGAGCTTGCCCTAGTAGCTTAATCTAAAAGCATCGGTCTTGTAATCCGAAGATCGGAGGTTAAATTCCTCCCTAGCGCCCAGAAAAGAGAGATTTTAACTCTCACCCCTGGCTCCCAAAGCCAGAATTCTAAATTAAACTATTATCTGG